TTTAAAATTTAATTATTTTATAGAAGATAAATATATAATAAATAAATATACTACCCAAATAACAATAATATATTTTGCTCCACGATTTCAAAATTTATAGGTATATCAAATTATTTTTTAAAAATTATTTCCTAGTATAATATTTAATATTATATCATTATTCCGTATCTATATTTAAAAAAAAATAACAATTATGAAAAGATAAAACATTTTATTTTAAAATTTCAACCAATTTCTATTGTAGTTGAGAAATGCATAGGTAATAATAATTATTTTTTGGTTGCAACATTATTCTTAATAATATTTGAGCGTAAAATAATTTTTTTTAACTTGAATATCAGGGACTTGCAGACCCAGCCGGAAACTCATTCTGCCCGTAACCCTGGCTCGGAATGGCCCGAAAAATGGCATTATGTTGAACCAAAAATATCTTGCGGGCCTCAATTTAAAAGTTTATTTAAAATACCGGTCGGTCCTAGCTTGAAAGGGATAATTTTTTTATATCAGACCGCATTACATGCAAACCATATTTCTCAACTGTTCTAAACACTAATCCAAATCGATCATGAACTGAACGATTAGACTAATATTATCAGGTTTTTATAAAGTAAACTAAACCTGAACCGTTAAGAATTTTACCAACAGAATATTATCTCTAAAAAGGTATGTGAGTGAACCGAATTTAAATTTAAAATTCCTGACTCTTTGAAAGATTATTATAATATATTTTGATTGATAGGTATCAACAACTAATTTTTTGTCCATTGACGAAGTTCGTACCCATTAGGGCACCAATGGTGTAAATCATATAATTTATTCTTTCTCCTGATAGATATAATTTGACGGAAGAATCTTGAAAATGTATACTTATCAATACTCTTTTTTTTTAGACAATAGTGATAAAATTTGATATAAAATTATGAGCATTCTTTTTTCATAATTATAATAAGTATGTATGAAAAAAGGTTTGAAGAGGTTTTTTTAATGTTGAACATATATGATAATTTTTATGAACAGAATTTGAACAATTATCAGGCAGGCAATTTTATCTGAACCTTAAATCTGAAAATGCATAATAATTTTTTCTCTTAGTTTTACATATATATTTATAAACCTTGATCAAGTTTAAGCTTTACCAGTTGAAGATAAAACACGTTCCAAAAAAAAAATTTTTATTATAAATTCTTCAATTTTTGGAACATTTTTATAAAAGAAACATTTTCACATATTTTTAAATATTTTTATCCATTAAATATACTATTCCTTTAATTATATTTAAAAGTATTACCAGGAGCAGCACAACCCTCATGTTTTACATATTGGGGTAAAATATTTTAAAACTATTTAGCAATTTAAATAGGAATAAGTTCATCAAATAATTTTATGATAATTATTAAATTAGTGTCCAGTTTTTAGTAATTACTTTCAAGAAATAAAATTTTGAATAGTAAATACTCTAGTATGTTTACCGACTTATCAGCGGCTTTTACCACGAAGGGAGGGGGTAAGACATAATTGGTATTAAATTTTTAGGAGAGTAGGGTGGCAATTTTTTTATTGAAATTTGTCATATGGTTTACGAATATAGTTTATTATTTCTAATTATTTTTAAATGAATACTTTGTTATCTATTATTTAAAAAAATAATATTTATATTATTGTAATTGCTTCGTTAAATATTTTTATTTCGGATATTTTTCTTCTTTTCAATACCAAACAAATAGTATTCAAAGAAAATATTATCAAAGAAAAAGTATCCTCTCAAATCAATTCCCAAATAATAAAAAAAAATCATTGCACTCATAAGAATTTGCATAACACAATACAAACTGGAAGATTTTCACAATTTGCAAGCTGATATATAGCAATACCTATGAGTTCTAAGTTAATTTTAAGCTAAACATTTGAAGCTTAACAATTGTTTTATGTTGAAAAGCGATATCGAAGTAATCGCTTTTATTATACCTATTAACCACAAACAAATATAATGGTTTTAAATAATGTTCCTGAAATATATTTCTCTTTTTTGTACTTTAAATTCTGATATAATTTATTTTTTACCATGATACAACATAAACGACTTCGCAAATTCAGTTAAACTCCAGAAAAAATAATAATTAATATGCGGGCATTACTAATATTTTATTTAATGTCACCAATACCTCTGGTGTTTTTTTAGGAATTTTTAAAATTCTATTAGGCAGGAATTTAGTGAGATATGTATCGATTGCAACGTCTAATCATTTTACTCAATTACTTTGCTAATTGACTGAAAAAACTACTAGCTAACTTTTTTCTTTCTTTCTCTCATTCTTTGTATTTGATCTAATCTTCTACTAACTAGATCTTAAGTAATTGAATTCTTATCTAGTTGAATCTCGATTTATAATCTGATAAATTTGCCTTAATTGTTGTATCTTCAATATCCAACTTACTCAATATATCTCTAGTTGGATCTTATATGGCTTGGGTGCATAGTTTTTTGTTGGATTCAGATTCAGTTGATACTATTGCTAGTAGATTATCATCCTTCCGGGATTGTCAAATAAATTATCATCAGTTACATGTATTGTAAAATTCTAAAGAAAACCCGAAAAAAAAGAAAATATAAAAAATAGAGAAAGAAATATAAAAAGGTAAAGATAGCGAAAAGAAAATATTAATATATATAGATTTTTTTGTCTTTTCTGATGGGATCACTCTTCAATGGAAGATAGGCCAATTACATTCTTGTATTTGTGATAATTTATATATAGTATATATTAATAGTTTATTATAATTAGTTACTCGTGAAAACATATATGTGCATGATTGATAGAACAATTAAAAATTTTGAATTATTTATAAATTTCTAATGGCCATATTTTCGTATCATATCGACCATACCTAACACCTTTAGTAAACTCGTCCTAGAATCCTTCAAAATTTTATGCTCCTAAATCAGTAAACTCATAGATGAACCTCTTGAAGGTTTTTTTTCATTCTGAAAAGTTGGTTATAGTCATCCTTAAAGCGAATTACATATCATCGGCAGTTTTCTTTCCAAAGTGCTCTAGACTCTTTTTACTCCTTATTTATTCTCGCTTTATATGATATTTCTTCATTATTTTTTAAATTTTAGATATATATTTTTTTGAATGTATATTTTTATTTAATATATATGAATTGAAAATTATTAATAAATTATTTTTATATAATTTACAAACAAATTTATTTTAAAAAAAAATCATGTAATTTTCTGAAGAGCATTTAGGCAGTATTGCTTGCTTCCCCAGTCAATATGCCAATTCATTTATTACGTGATTTGATTATAACATAAGTACTTTTTGTTTTTAATTTGTTTTGTTCGTAAAAATAATGTTATTATATTTTTTTTAAAATTATAATATTGAATATCGTGAGAAATAAAATTTGCAGTTGACTTGTAATAATCTTCCATGTATCATTGTCGTTTTATTTTTGTGGTACTAATATTTCTATGATAATATTTCCTATCAATAGCTAAATATCACAATTGACTTTTAAACTTGGAACTCCTATATAAATTATATGTAATATTTTTATCCATTCTAGTTATTTGAGACATTAATACTTAAGTGGTATTATATTTAAGTTATTGAAACATATTTAGACGAAGGGGGGGGGGGGGGGGTAGAAGTAAATATTTTTCAGGCGGGCTAGGAGGTGAAAGTTTTCACTAAGGTAGAATCTTCAGTAACTAATAAGCTGGAAGGCGTGTAGAAGCTGCTATTACTTATTACTAAAAAAGGAATTTAATTTCATATCTAATATTTTTTTATTTAATATCTGCTAATAGAACCTACCATCGTTAGTAAGCAGCCAAATATGAAACAAAGTACAAATCGTTTATTATAAATATTTTTTTTAAAATGATGTTTATAATTGAATTAGATAATCTCACTAAAACAATCATTATATTTAAAGATAACATAAGATAAGTAATTAGAGATAAAAAATTAATTTTTTTATACAAAAAGCTTGCCTATCATTTTAACAAAAAATTTTACTTTATTTAATCTACCCTCAATGTATTAATTAGTTAATTTTTAAGCCAATATCAAATTTAACTGTTTTTATATTATTTATTAAAAGAGATAAAACTTGAGACTATGGCAAAACTATATCCAATAATATTTTGTCTTCGTTTTTTAAAATAATTTTAAATATTTTTATTTCTAAATCAATTATTTGATTAATGTTATATTCGCTATAAATATTAGATGTCCCTAGCCCAAACCGGTCCATGTAAATAATGGGTTAATTGACCCGCCCCTGTCCATAATTATTTTTACCCGGCCCGTAAAATATATTATGTACAACTTTCTCAGCCCGCTAATTATAATTATTTTAGAAATAAAACGAATTAACTGTGCTTTATTATCAGCTTTAAAAACATCTTCAAAACTTTGACCAGGTTCATATGAATTTTGAACAGTTTATTTCCCAGAAAATTACTTTTTCCCACCCGTTTTTCTGACGGGCACTGACATGTAACAAATATTAGTGATAACTGATATCAAATTTTCTAAAAAATCTTATATTTTATCATATTAATTACTAATTATTTTTTTTAAATGTATGACTATTTTCCGACATTTTTAATTAACCCTGAATTGACCTGAGTCGTTTTGAGCCTGAATGGACTATCCTATTCATCCCAGAGAGAACCGTAGTATAATTTTTAAAATCCAGAGAGTTTAAAAATCAAATCACAAGTTTACTATAAATTTAAATTAGATTCATTTGAGAAATCTTATGATGGACCATTCATTTTTTATTCTTTCCATATTTTCATTTTTACTCTTAAATCGACAAAAAAAAAATAAATAACTTTTCAAATTTTAAAACCAAACCGAATGAGATATGGCATTTAATTTTTTAAAATAATTTACATGTAAGCCTACTAGTTTAACGATTTGACCTGGCAGATCGATAACTATAATATAAAATATGTAAATTCTAGCTATAGTGAGATCCCACGGAGACTAATTGTTTATAATATTACGTTAAATGAGTATAATTACTGAGGCCGGGTATATAAATTATTATCAAAAGGCAATAATCCTTAAACAATTTTTTTTTAAACTATAGAGTCGACTATTCCCAAGCTCAATTTTCTAAAGATTGTAACTGATATCTTGCATAAAATTCTAAATCCCAAGTAATTTTTTTTTATCTTACTGTAGAGTTTGACATAAAGCATGTATTTTTTTCAAAAAAATTATTATGATCGCGAATTAAAACAAATGATAATATTCGATTATTTATATCTCAATTAAATAATGATAGATTTTTTTTAAAAAAAATATATAAGATTAAAAAATTTCTAAGGTATATACGTAAAAAAGTGAAGAAGGCCTCTTTTATAATGAGCATGATCCGCTCGAGTTAATCGCAACGAAACATATGATTTTAAAATTTGATCATAGCCATACTCGTTTCATCTCATCGCTCAGCCATTATAAAACATATACTTATTATTCACTCGCTTTTATTATGCAGCTATAAATTAAGCGAATCACATTTAATTTAAATGAGCCCTAATAGAAAATATTTGCTATTTTAAATCAAGGCCATTTTTGCTTTGTTTTAAAAAACCTAAAATATTAATCAAAAAATTTCGGAAATATATAATTTAAATTTTTTGATTAAATTTAGGCTTTATGCGTTAAAATTTTTAAATAAATCTCTGACACTGTTTGGGCCTCTCTTTAAAAAAGTATTTTAATTGACATAAAAGAACCACAGAATACCATCCGTAAGTTTGCGGGTAAATCAAGGTTATGGCAATATATTTGCTTTATTTTAGCGATATTGACGATATGTGGCCAGCAGATAAATAAACATGATAAATTCCCACAATTACCTCACCAATTTTATAAAAATTTCCAAATGAAAGATTTGATTCATTCTAAAAAAAATAATGTTTTCAGATGTAGCGACTTGAATTCTAACTTTAACAGGAGATAATGGCATTCATGAAAAAGATGTTTATATAAGCGTAAGCATAGCAAAACAATATATATTCATGATCAGCATCTTTAGAGTTGTTCTTCGTTTCATAAAGTCCGGGCACTAATATTTTATTTTCAGTTAGCGATATGTGTTTAACAACACCGATATTAAAATGAAAAGGATATAATATATTTTACCACTTAAAAAATTAATTATATTTTAATTTTATTTTCTATTTAGCCTTCACCTTTTCTGGTGGTAAGCTCCTTCAACATCTTTCTCCACTTTATGTTATTCATACAATCTCTTTTATCTAATTTATGCTTCTTTATATTGGCTCCCCATTGAAGTTTTGGCCTTCCTCTTTTACGTTTGCCCATCACTTTCAAACTCTCAACCTTATTTCCTATGTACTTCATAGGCCTTCTCATTGTGTGGCCATACAACCTAAGTCTGTTAACCATTAACTTAGTCTTAATGGGCACTACCTTTAAACTACTTAGTATTCTTGTACTGCGCACTTTATCCTTTCTTGTTACCCAGCAATCATTCTCAGCATTCTCGTCTCCATAGTTTGTAGACTTCTCTCGTCTGATTCTTTGGTTGGCCATGTTTCCGAACTATGTAGAATAGTTGGTTGTACTATGGAACTGTAAATTTTTCCCTTTAATTTGTGTGAGATTCTTTTGTCAAATAGCACTTCAGATAATGATTTCCACTTTAACCACCCTTGATTAATTTTACTCTTTATCTCTTTTTCTATTGTGCCGTTTGTTTGTATAACGGAGCCCAAATATTTGCAGCGTTTAATTGCCGATATCTGCCATTCATTTATATCAATACTCTCTGTTTCATCTGCTCCTATCACCATACACTCCGTCTTTTCTCTATTTACTTTTAGTCCGTGCTTTTCTAGAATATTTATCCAACTCACTAATCTTTATTTCATTTTATCCTTGGATTCGGCAAGTATCACAATATCATCTGCAAATATCATATTCCACGGGACTTTTTGAGGTATAGACTGTGCTAATACATCTATTACTGTAATGAAGAGAAGTAGGCTGAGAACCGACCCTTGATGAACTCCTTCGGCTATTGTGAAACCTGCTGAGGTACCTGTTGTGTTACGGACCATTGTTGTATGGCCCATATACATATCCTGTATTATTCTTATATATTTTTCGGGAACTTTTTTGTGGCGTAGCGCTCATCAGATAAGTTTTCTTGGGATTCTATCGAAGGCCTTTTTTAGATCGAGAAAGACCATGTGTAGCTTTTTGTTCTTTTCCCTGTATTTTTCACTCATTTGCCTAATTGCGTGGATAGCATCAGTTGTTGATCTTCCAGGCATAAAGCCAAATTGAGTCTCTCCTATTTCGATTATGTCTCTTAATCCTTTTTCTATTATTTTTTCGTATAGTTTTAGACAGTGTGACCAGTGGCGTAGCTACGGGGGTGGTTTTTGGGTTTGGACCCCTCCCAGAGCTAAATCTTTTTTTAGATTATACGTTCAAAAGACTTAAAAGTGACTTTATATTAAATAAATGCTATTAATATTTATATTTTTCTAGTTTTGATGTTTGTGAAAGGATATTATATTACTATTGAAATTATTCTGGATAGTATTATTATAAAGTCATTGAGAATAATCTACTAAATTATAATAACATATTATTGATACATTTAAAAAATGTATATATTATAGAAGATATGGTTATAATTTGTATGATTAACCCGGCCGAGGGCCGGGAAAAAGGGCTGAAGGCCCGTCAATAGGGGTCTGGGGGGCGACGCCCCCAGGCTTTTATATGTATGGACCCCCTCTAAGAAAAATTCCTAGCTACGCCACTGAGTGTGACATTAGTTTTATGCCCCTGTAATTTTGATAATTGTGTGGATTCCCTTTATTTTTGAAGATAGGAATTAGATATCTCTGCCTCCATTTTTGGGGAACCTCTTCATTTTCAAGTATTTTATTGTACAGATTTGTGAGGAGATGTATTCCATCATCTCCTTTTAAGGCATTCTATTGAAATATCGTCTGGACCCCTAGCTTTGTTGTTTTTCATATGCTTGAGGCATGTGCTTATTTCTTGTTCTGTTATGGTTGTACAAGGTTTTGACATGGGGAGTGTTCGGGATTAAAGTTGAGAAGCTCCTGAAAATATTCTTTCCATCTATTAATTATTTCTTTTTCCTTTATTATCTCCCATCTGTGTTTTTTTGATTACTTTCGGAGCTCCGTTTATATCCCTAGAGTTCTTTTCGCGCTGTTTGGCTAATCTGTATATTTTATTTTGCCCTTCGGTATGTAGTTCTTCATACATGTCATCGTATGCCATAGATTTGGCCCTAGCCACCGCCTTTGTAGCTATTCTCTTGGATTTTTGTAATTTGTCTTGCCATCTGAGTTTTTGGATTTGAACCATATTTTATATAAGGCTTTTTTCTCCTTTATAGTGGTTTGTACCTCTTCATTCCAACATCATAGTTATTTGTATGATTTGTTGCCTCCTCTTGTCAAGCCTAGTGTCGATTTGGCAGTGTTTATTAATCTTGATGAAAGGTCTGTCCACATTTTTTCACTGATTTATGAGGAATTTATTGTTTCAATGTTTGCATTGATTGCAAAGGCATCTGTCATTGTTTTTAATTTGCCCCATTTGATGCATGGTTCCATTTTTATCTTGTTTTGAGTGGATTTATTTGAGATGTGTAAATCCATGACTTGTAGCTTGTGTTGTGAGGCGATATCTTCTCCTGTGATGACCTGCGAGAGATTAGCATGTAATCTATCTGTGTTTTCCTTGTAATACTTTCGTATGTTATTAAATGACTGTCTTTTTTCCTATAGTAGGTGTTGGTTAAGGCAAGGTCGAAGGCTTGCGCAAATTTACCAATTATGACTAGGTCATCCTTAGGGATTTCCATTACAGCTTCATCAAGGATAGCACTAAAGTCATCTTTCTCTTCTTCCTTGCAACCCCATTTGAGGAGCATATACTGAAAGGATGTGTAGTATTGATTGACCAATGCAGAGTTTTATCTACATTAGTCTATCAGAGATCCTGTTGACTTCTACTACTGAGGTTAGATCTTGTTTACTTTTCACAGGATGATTTCTACACCCTGCGGGTCGCTTGGAGGGAACGCCCTATCTTTCATATTCATATTTCCATTTGTTTCCTTCATTTTGTTTATTAGACATTAGCACCCGGCTGTCCAGGTCTGTCGGTGACTGGGGTGTCATCCCTAAGCTCCGAAATTCATCTTACCATATGTCTTTACACATCAGTCATCGAAGAAAAACTTGAAAGTTTTGCTCCATACCAGGATTGATGCGTTCTTCTTCGTCCTTCTGTTTCCAAGCATACATCTAATCCATTTCACCCCGGCGATTAAATAATTAGTTATATATCAATTTAAAATATTTCAGACCAAATAATAAAAGTTTTTCTTTTGAACCGTGCTATTTTTAATCTATAAAAGTTCATTCAGTCGTGATGCCAATTAATTCTCTTATTTTGCTTAAATATTAATACTGTCTAACAAATGTAAACTAAAATTTACACCAATTAAGCATTGACTTATTGAATTAAGTTTCCGAATTAATGTTTACAGATTTTTTGTCAATTTCGTAGGTCATAAAACACAGTTATATAAATCAGGCATTAAATTGGCAACTAAGTGCTTCTATAACTTTCGTTTAATTTCAAACGGATGAAGCACTAAAACATAATAATCATGCACTACTCATTGGTAAGTTTAGGAATTATTACTTCCAAATGATTGAGACACTGATAATTCAGTTTAGGCCAAGTTGTTGGCAAAATAACACTAATTAATAGCACAAACTAGATATTTACTGCTTCTATATATTCATTTAGGCATGATGGAAATTTTTACAATAACTTTTATTTCTAAACTATCTACCAAACAGATCAAAACACAAAATATACTTACTTAGAACTTCCTAGATAGTCTGGTATAGGTTTCAGAATGGCATTTCCAAAAGGCTAACACTCTTAAAGCATGATATCATAGTTTACTCACTCCTTTTTCTGTTGAAAAAAACAAATTGAATAATTAATTAATAGGTATACTTATTAGCACTACATATTTGTGTAAGATAATTAGTAATAAATTATTATTTCTATTATATTTTAATTTTTTATTTACATATATAAAAAGTCAAATAAAATATATTATAAAATTAAAAGTCAATATTTGTTATAAATATTGATTATCAACATGATCGGATTGTTGGTTTAAATCACGATTTAAAACATTTTTGATTATAAATATGTCGTCCTTATGTAACTGCAAAGTTATGACGTATACTTAGACATGTGCGCCGCTTGTCAAATGCGCAACCGCTGGTGATTTTTGACCACGCTGACGCCGCCAAAAAGTGTCGGTGCTTAACACACTGCCGCCGATGTAAATTTGGCGGCGTGGAGGCGTGATACATAATTTTTATTATTAAAAATAATATTTATTTTATATATTATTTATAAATTGTAACTAGAAGAAAAATAACATTAAATATTTTTTGAATTATTAAAATGTGATTTTATTAAAACTAATAAATAATATTTGCTATAAATTTGATTTGTAACTTGAAGAAAAATAATATTAAATATTTTTTGAATTATTAAAATGTGATTTTATTTTTAAAACTAATAAATAATATTTGCTATAAATTTGATTTGTAACAATCCATATAATACACGTTGGCTCATTGGGCAGGTCTGTGACCAACGTGCTAGATAAGTTTAGGATAGTAAAACAGAATAGGTATTGATATTATTATATATTTTATTATTTTAATTTTAACTGTTAAAATAATTAATTATTTTATAATAAAATATTTTAATAAAACTCTCCCACATTTAGAATTTTTTATGGCATAATATTTATTATTAACTTTTTATTATGTAGAAATATGGCATTATTTCAAATACAAAAGATTTACCAGATAGAACAACACTTAGCGGAGTGGATTAGATGTAATTATCAATGAAAGCATACATATGTCAACAAATTAATATAGGTCCTAAATTAATTTTGTACTATAACTTTTGATATGTCGACCGACAAATATAGACGGCGAAATTATATTACCTATACATTTCACGAAATAGATAATAATTTTAATATTGTATTTTATACATTGGCGACACATCCTGTCACCCAAAAACATGCCGCTGAAACTATTCTTTCAGAGATAGAAAAAGTTGAAAATATATTTATTTAGAGTCCAAGAAAATTCAAATAGTTATGGATGCAGGATCCAATGTAAAGAAAAGTGTTCGTCTAGGAGAATATGACCATCATTTATGTTTGGGGCATGGATTACATAATCTAGTGACAGTCGATGGAATAAAAAAAAGTTATAGAAAATCTCATTAAAAAAGTGGGAGATATTTGCCTTTCAACACAACGGATTTTGAAAATATAAACGATATCGAAAATAGAAAATGTTTTGAATCGATATCATTTACATCGGATATTTTAGATTTGGATGATAATAATTTTTTTTATGAAGATCATTTGGGGTTTGATGATAGTGAATATCAAAAATCATATGAGAAAAAACCTTAAAATTAAATATGCCTACATGTTAGCATAGTATTTTAATAATGCTGGAAAGTGTGACTGGCAATAACAAAAATCCTATAAATATTCTATTAAATAGAATGGAGAAACCGGATCTCAAATTATTTAACTCCGATTGGGATGAACTTTTAAATTTTTTTAGAACCTTCAAAAAAACTGTTCCTCATTTTCAATCTAATGAATATTTAAAAAAAATATAATTACTCCGGTGCAATTTTTATGTCAATGGCCTTACACGGACGAATTAACCGAATGTGAAACGACGGAAGTTGCTTCAAAATTTCATTATCTTACATTGGTTATGAAACATTTATCTATTCATAATAATAATCTGAAACAACTAAACTAGTTTAGGAAAAGAGTATTATTCATTATTTTCGCCTTATAATTTAGAGATAAAAGATTTCTTAGATTTTTGGAAGATAAGAGCATTGGATCTTTTTAAACTTTCAATATTAGCTAGAAAGGTTTTGTGCGTTCCAGCTATGAGCACACCCAGCGAGCGTGTATTTTCCATAGCTGGGCTCACTCTGAACTCTAAAAGATCATTATTATGACCTATAAATCTAAATATTACATATGATAATTTTAACTTAATAAAATCATTAAATTATAGTTATAAACATAATAATATTTTATAAGTATTTCCAATGAATTTATAATTTTAATTTAAAAAATTAGAGTTAGAAAAATGTCGATTATTTTAAAAAAAACGCCGCCGCCGATAATGCTGTCGGCGCACATGTATTATACTAAAGATCGTATTTTTTAGAGTAAAGTGAATAATAATTAAATTAGGGCACTTATTTTATATTATCAAAAAAATTTTCTATTTATAATTAGTTTGTAACATTGACAAGCACTGATCTGGCACCAATCAACAAAATAATATCCTAAGTAATACTATAGTTATTCATGATATTTTATGATAAATAAGAAGGTCTTGAATTATAGGCGCAACTTCGGTGGGAAAATAGCGGGGAAGTTTACTTTTTAAAAATTTTCAAAATTAGCAAAAGGGTAATTGTAACTTAAAATGAAAAAATAAACATGAAAATTTTATCACGAATTAGAATTAGTATAAAATATACTCACATTACTATTTGAATTTAATGATTGATGTTTAATGAAGCACCATGTTCTGATATTCCTTAATCATATTAATAGGTATCGTTGGCAGTGTTTTATATCCACTTTATTGCGAAATGCATTATTTTGGATAAATCAGTTCTTCAGCACTGTATTCCTCCATAACAACAATAAAGCATTTTAAAAATTACAAGGTGTTCCCATCCCTTATTGTTTTAGCAATAAATCTGTCAATTAAAAAAAAATTCAATAAAATTTTATTGATTGAGAAAGTGTTAAATTATCAACGTTTTCTGAAAATTTCATTAAATTTTATTAACAGAGTCTAAAAGTTATGCATATTCAAAGTTATAAAAACAAAATTCCAAAATGTAAAAATTAATTTTTGTTAAATTTTATATTATAAGCAGACGATAATAAAATAACAATGGTTTACTGTAAAGATGACTTGAGTTTAATTAATATTTCAAGACTATAAAAACATTACGAAGTCAAAAGATTTTTGAAGGAATTTCATAGTTCTTGAATTGATTGATCGCAAAAATTGATGCTACCGGATCAGCAGAAAATGGTATGGTGATAGACCATGCAAAGCTCGTACTATGGAAAATGTTGATTCTGTTGAAACACTTGCATTGATCCAAGAGGATCCGACACCCATAGAACAATTTGTCAAGTATCCCAGTTCAGTACTTAACCAGTGCGAATAAGATCGTCCGTATGGTACGTACCAAACAACTTCTGCGAAAATACCATCACAGGTTATTTTATTACATGTGAAGATAAAAAACGGTTTACAGTAACTCCACCAGTAAATCTGCAAAATGTTATGGTGTACGTTGCAGTTTCAATATGAAGCAAACAAGTTGCACCCGATTGCTGGTACAACATAAGACTCAAATTAATCTTGACGAATGTTAATGTTTTCATGTTTTTACCTGTCATAATTGTCGTTTTTTTAAATTATTGTATTGGTATATATTTGTTTTTTTTTGTAAATTCATTTTATGTATTTTTATTAAGCGCAATAATCTGGTTTGTTAACTTAGCGCAGTGATTTGTTTTTGATTGTAAAACTCAGCATGAGTCAGTTTTTTTATATATTTTGAAAAAAGAAATTTTGTAAAAATTATACATTTTTTGTTCTTGTTTAAAAAAAAAAAAAATTTTAATAAAAATTTTACTCTTGAATTTCAATATTTTTAAATTTTAATATTTAATACTTTTTGGGATTTAAGAATTTATATTAAGGAAGTTTCATAATATTTGGAGAGAAGTAATTCAGTGGATCGGCACAACATCAATATTACCCGAATTGTAAAGTTTAATAAAAATGAATTTACATGTTGGAAAGTTTAAATTTTGTCTGTCCAACTTTGAGTGTGCATAACTCGACTCTGTTGGTAGAATCTGATGAAATTTGCAGAAAATATTGATAATATATCCCTCTCAAATCCATAAAATTGTGTTAAATTATTTTTCTAATAGTCCAGATAAATTGCTAACAAAAAGGTTATCCGTTTAATAGGAACACTTTAAATGCTTTCCCCGACATATTTTTTTTAAAAACTGTATATAGAACATTATAATACTCAGCAGATGATATCTCATAACAAATCTTTAAAAACATAGATAATTTATACCGCAGGATTACTAATTTTGAAAGACCCCGATAATGGCAAAATAATATTCCAATATGTATAAAGTATCTACCACGTGACTATCAGACATATTTGCCGTGAATTTTTGAACTAACCTTAAATTTATAAATAATTTTCATATTCTATATTTTTTATATAAATTTCAAAAATAAACAAGGATTAATATAATGACGAAACTGTCTTAAATTTAAAGGCTAGTTGTATATAAATATCTTTTATTGAATTCATACTTTGGTTATTAATATATATAGTGCGTCTCGAAATAAATATGTTTATTATAATCATATTTTTATTTAGTAAATATATAAATTACATTTTATATGCCCCTTTTGTTCCAATTCATCGTCCTTTATTTATCATCTAAAATAAAAAACATCACTTTACTATGTTAATCATTTTAAGTTAGTGTTACTAAAACAAAACTATTAAGTTAATGTATATTATAATAATGTAAGAAAGAAGCAATAATAAAAGTTGTCCGTAAAGTAATAGTTCTTTAGGGCAAAATTATGATTTTTCTTTTAAATATTATTATTTATTTTTGTTTTTTATTGAAAACGTGATATATTAACAGCTAAACTCATATGACAATTGAAAAATTGATTTAATTAATATTAATGCTCAAATTTTTTTTATATATTTATTGAAAGAAATCTACAAAATAAGGAATAAATTGGGGGAAAAAATGGACTAATCAATTTATTTCTTTTTAAATTTATTTTATGCAGATATTATGGGAAAACATTGTCATAATTAATTCTGAAATTTTTTTTTTAAATAAACCAATTTATGTGATTATATTAAATTATATATTATGGGAAAACATTTGTCATCATTCATTCTGAGAAATTTTTTTTAAATAAACCAATTTATGTGATTATATTTTAAAGTCCTGTAAAGCGGAAGTAGAGAAGAGGCTAGATTACCCTGAAAGAACTCTAGACCTTTCACTTTCTTCATGTAAAGAAAAAATAATCTTTAAAAAATAAATTCATAGTGAGTCCTCTTTAAAAATAAAAAATTCTATACAGAAATAAATTGAGTATTTGTCAGGATTCTCATACCTAAATCCTATAAATTCCTTAAATATCGAAAGAAAAAAAACTATTTCTTTAACATAAAACTAAACCCTATCTCATATCTGATTACCCTTAACCTTAAGACTAAACTAGCATTTAACTCTTAGCCAAATCTAAACTTCCTTAAAGAGATTTGCCTCTCAGACTCAATTCAGATTTGTAGCCTCGAAGTTAAAATCTGCAGTTAATATATAATATTTTAGGGCCAAAGTCAATGGGTGCAAAATGTTATTGCATTTTTTATTCAATTATTATGTGAGGGTGTAACATCTGGAACAGAATCTGTATTAGAATTTAAAATATATAGAGAGCAATTTTGTTCCAGATGATTTTCTTCCATTATCAATTCTTTTAATATTAAATTTTCGTTGAATTCCTTGACGTCGTTTTGAAACGTTTTTTCATGTTGATTGATGTTGTCGGGAACTTCACCCTTGATTATTACAGGTTGATCGTATATTTTGACGCCGTACTTGTTAAATTTTCTATGTTCTATTTAATTATTAATTTTTTTAAAAAATAAGGCATATATAATTCTTATCTCTTGATAATTTTCCCGTCTTAAATATAACAACATTATTAAATTTTGACGTAGTTTTAATCTCTTAAGTCTATGATTTATTCTAATATGCATTTCATTTTATTAAAATTACTTACTTTCCGTTCTTTCTTTCCGTTCCTTCTTTCCTTTCTTTTTTTTTATCTTTCTTGATTCTTAGTGATTAGTGGGTAATTAAAAAAATATTATCACGTGTATACAATACCTGCGTGACGAATAGTATTTTCGCAGACCGAACCGCAAAGAGCGGAACAATTATTTTCCTTAAATCCGAATAGTATGCCTAAATTCGCGACATCGTAAGGTCCCCTCATATCCAAACACTTCTGGGCTCCGCTATTTAGCATCACATTCTTTATCCTCGGTTCGATGCAAAGCAGCATCGACAATTGGCTAATCAAATTTTGACGATAACACGAACTATGAATAGCTTTTTTTGCAATATAATATTCTTTTAAATGATTAATAAATTGTGCCCATTTTTTGGGTGAGCGAAGTAAAGTTTAAAAGGAAAGAACAGAAGAAATGAAATGAATAGAACAAAAGAAAAGAAATGAAGGAAAGAATAAAAACAGGACAGGCAGAAAAAAAAGAAATAAATCAAAAATAATTTTGTTTTGTTTTTCAAATAATAATTAATAAACCAGGAGAATAATTGAATTCGAAATTGATTCCTTTGTTCACAGCAGATCGGATATTAGATCTTTTAAACCGGATCGACGATTTTTGGGATGTGTCGATGGAAATTATATCGATCTCCGGCACAGATTCACAGCAGGTCATAAATATTCTTCGAGTTATATATATAAATATTTTTTAAAAAAATTTACATTATCATAATATTTTGATGATAGATTTGACCATTTTTTTTAAGACGTTGCTGCGTATTGTCTAATTCGATGCTCAAAATAAGCAACTTGTAACTTAATAATATTTGTCGAAAAAAATTAAATGCAAGAAATTTGCCTTTATATTTTAGATGTGTGTATTGGATGTCCAACGTGAGAATCATTGGCTTTGAGTTTTAAAAAAAAGTTAAAACATTGAGCGGGTGAACGGGAAATACATTTTTCAAAACAACGGGCGGGCGGGAATTTTTTGAACGAAATACGCTTAACTTATATTTATTTAAAAAAAAAATTTTTTTTTCTACTTCATAATGATGCATCTAGTTTAAGTATAAAAATATATTAAAATAAAATAAAGAGCCAAACTAACCAATAAAATAATATCTAGGCAGGCGGGAGGCTTAAATAAAATTTAAATAATCGGCGGGAGGGTGTTCGGGATAAAAACGTGCCCATTGCAGACCTCTAGTATATATTGTGTCGTATGTGGGAGATATGGGTGGAATTTATCGAGATTCGTACCGAAAAGGCGATTTTTAAATCTGAAAAATCTTATTTGACTAGAAATTATTCCGACATGTATAAAGTGCCCACAACGTGAATTTCCTACATTTTTCGCGTGAACTTTTGATATACTTTTAATTTTTATCCATTTTTATATAGTTTTTATTTCGAAAGAATTTTAAAAAAAATAAATAATTGCACGGAAGTTCGTGGCGATAATTGTTTGAAAAAATACGGTAAGGTATTCTAAACACATGTTATAATACAATTCCAGCCAAATAATAAATTTTTTTCTAGTGTTGTTAAAAAGGCTCCATTTTTAGAAAACGGTTAATCTAATATCTTGGCCAAAGAAATAGCATACGCCAGCCCTGGACATTCTCGTACATGGTGAAAGGTTCGGATATCTATTAATGAAATCTTGAGGCTGGCGTAATATTGTTTTGACTATCTTAATTTAAAATTGGGCAAAATCGAGCCGTTTAACCCAACTAGATTTTTCAAATTTATAAATCGCTAGCAGTAAATGATATAATATCGAAAGACACCGATTCCTCTATGTATTCCATAATCCCTATACGACATATTTATTTGTGTTCGTATATTTATGGAATCTATGGGGGATTTTAGAATTCGCCCAAATATAAATCGTGTATGGAGAGGTAATTTTTTTCTTCTTCTTTAAACGTTTATTATCTGATATGACCGGAAATGGTTTTACAGCGTTTATAGAGTATAACCAACACTATAAATGTCAGCATTTTAAGTTTATAAGAAAAAACGCATAAAAATGATTATCAAAAGTTTACGGTATTTGTACCAATGTCCAATGGTTTATATAATGCGTATCCGGACTAATGATTCACAATTAAAATATATTTTGAAGCGCCATATAAATATAAATCAGCTGACGAGAAGCCATTTTGATTTCCCATATTTTTTATTACAAATAAAATTGATATTTTTTTTAGAAAAAAAAAGAGTTTCGTAAAAATTTTAACTTAATTGTTTACGCAGGAAACCAAAATGGCGTGTCATTAACTGATTTGTAACGATATACATGTAAATGAATGACTCATCAGCTATGTCATTGCTCTATATATGCCTGAATACATTTCCGGTTACATCAGACCTTTTTCATAATTTAAAAATTGCTGTCAGTAAAGAGATTTTAAAATTGAGATTTCGCCTATATCCCAATCCCAATACGGAAATTTAGTCGATCAAAATGTCGAGGTCAAAACTGGTCTAACCCTATAAAAGTTGCCAAAAAAATTCTGAAGCGACATGAGTCCTACTTTTTTTTTAACCCCGGGTTCTAGCCCAATTCTGTAAGACTTCCATAACTTAACCTATCAAAAACGGTTTATTTGTGTATGTTATAGTTATAGCTCACTTGGGTTGAACATAAAATATAATAGAATTATATAATTGACTCATGAAAAGTGGTATAAGAACTGATTTTTTTTAATAACTATTCTAACGTGTATAATATTTTTAAAAAAAAACTAATTGAACTTTATAGTTTAAAATATAATGATAAGATCGTGATTTTTTTTTTTAAAAAAAATCTTATTATTATTATCTGATTTATCGATAATCATACATAATATTTATATAAAAAAATTTAATATTATGAGTTTGTAAATTGGGATGTCAAGTTCATTGTTAACAAAAAAAAAATTTATATTGTCAAATCAATTTATTTTCCCTATCTATGCCATTTATTTCCATAAAATAAATCTTTTGTATGATCTTCATTCTACATTTCCTATATAAAAGAACATAATCTTCAACAACGTAATTTGGCTATTACCTTGTTAAGATTTTATTATTTTTACTGATATGAAAATCAGATTTCAAATTAAGATAAATGGAAGAATTACCCTTTACCCTACTTCACAAGTGAAAAATATAATGTCTAGGCTGAGGTTCCCTAGAACTTCAATTTAGATACGCTATTATAACTTAGAATAAAATTTATTTGCAGCGTTCATATTTTATTAAAATTTTGTGACAACTTCTGCCAAAAGATTCAAAAATAAAGTGACAAATTATTTAAAAATGTCACCCATATAATTTTTCAAAAAAATATGTAAATAAAAATGATATTGTAATGTTTATATATTTAAATTAATAAATTAAGGTTTATAAAAAAGTGTACGACTTTACCTTTTCTGAAGAAAAGGAACGTCGCCATTCATTATCTTCTTCTAGGTAACGAGTAACGGTAACGCAAACATTTTTATTATAAAAATTACTTTTATTTATTTTTTAATTTTTATTTTCAGTCAAGATTGCTAATTTAATCAATATTCAATCAATTTATATAAATTATATTGTTAATTAATATTATAATTTATTTTATAAAGAATATTATGTCATTTGTACATTTTCTTCAGATGAAGATGAGTAAAGCCTGTCTTGGCTCTAATAAATCAAAAATTACATGTATAAGGAATAATTGAAAAGGAGGGAGTAATTAATTAGTTTTAAAAGGAAAAAGAAGAGAGAAGTAGGAAAGATTTAAAAATAAGAATTAAGAACGTTTTTTTTAAACAAAAAGTGCGTAGAAGTTTATAAAAATGGGGTTAAAATTGAATTTCAAGGAAAAGTGAAAAGATTTATTATAGGAATTTGGGGAAAATTGTAGAAAATTCGTTTTGGAAGAAATTATAATATAAATTGCGAAATAAGAAAAGAGGTTAAGAAATATACTTTGAGTAAAAGCGATAAATTATGGAATTTATTAAACAAAGAATAATCGTAAATTTTAGGAAAATGGATAAAGTTTTTTTTTTAATTGTAAAGACAGAATTTAGTGTTCAAGGAAAAATAATTAATTATGATTGGGGGCAAATTGTAGAAGAATTCGTTTTTTTTTCAAATTAAAAAATAGGATATTGGAAAATAAAAGAGGTTAAGAAATGTATTGAGTAAAAGTAATTAATTTTAAATTGTTTTAGAAAGAGAAGGGAAAAAATAGTAGGAGAAAGTAATCAAACCCATTGGAAATTTTAGGAATATAAAATTGTTTTTGAGAAAGCAACTGGAAAGTGTTAATTAAATGTTATATGAATTAAATAACAGTAGATATATTTTTTTAAAGTTTTAAATAAAAATTAATTAGATTAAAATTAAATAAAGATTGAATATTATTTGTAGTAAAAAAAAAATATTTATAATACATTTGCACATGGAAACCTTCTACATCAAAGCGACCAATAACATGATACAAGTAAGCGTATTGAATATGAACCATCGCCTGGCCAATCAATGGCATGATCAATGGGAACGTCAGCAGACTGAGGATTGTATACCGATGATGTCGATTAGATTTCAAACGTTGAGTGAAGTATTAGTGAGACCAAATGAATTAGCTACATCACTGAGAAAACCCAGTTCTAATGTCAAATGTTTTAATTGAGGTGGGATAGGACACAAATCCATTGATTGTCCTAGCGCCCGAATTCAATCAACCCAATGGAGGCTCAATGAAATCAATGAAAATAGGTGGCAATCAAATGGACCACAGGGTTATGACGGCTGGACGTATACTATCTAGAGGGACGGTTATGATGATGTCTGGAGAAATTGTGCAGCAAGTGGATTCGCTGAGGATTAATAGAATGATACAAAGGAAACCTGAAGTGGTGAGGTTGGGAAGTAATAATATTCAAAATGGTAATAAGGGACAAGCGGGTATTCCAACGGGTAATGTGGCGTCAACTGAGGAAATTATGCAGAATGAAATGGAAGAATTAGCGATTAATGACGAAACATTGTAAGATATTATATTGTATTATTTGGTAATTATATTTTTTTTTAAATAATGACTCAAAAATTGTATTGTTTTTGCCCCGGGTTTTTGTTCCTTGAAAAAGGGGGCATGTTGTAACCTTATATATTTTTTATGTTTATTTATTGGGATTATTGATTTTTATTTAAAATGCTGTCGAAAATATTAAATAATATATATATAATGTTTTTGAATATTAAAAAAATAATTAATATTTGTTTTTAATTTATAAAAAAAAAGTATTTCGAAAATATTTTGAATCTAAAATTATAATATATTTCGCAGATTTTATTAATAAATAAAATGTTGTATGCTGACCGTGTTATTTTATTTTAAGTATATTGAAATTTACAAATTTATCTCAGTGTGTTAGTTTTTACCTCAGTATCTTTTTAATTTATCTCAGTGTAGCAGTCGCAACAATATATAGGGGGGAAGGGGGAAAAAAATTTTTTGTATATAATATTTAAATAATTTTGCACATATTTATAATATATAATACTTTACTTAAAAATATTAATAGACTAAAAGATCCAGACAAAAATATAGAAAAGAATTTTGAGTATATAATAACGTTTTTAAATGAATCCAGGAAAATAGTTTCCCCAAAAACAATCCTCGTTTTTTTAAGATATATGG